ATGATAAACTGTTAATGATGAGTTATGTGTATGTATGTATTTACTGTAATTAATCTGATATGATTTTATATGATACGAGGAAATCATGTAATTTGGTATAACATGATAGAACATAACATGCATGTATTGATATATGTTATAAAGTGCATTATAAGTTTTTATGCCTCACTAAGTCTTCGACTTAGTGTGTGATTGTTTCACACGTAGGGTACAGAAGCAAGAAGAGAAGAGAAGAAGAGTAAGACAGGTCAGCACATCCCTTACAAAATTTCAGATCAGAAAATAGAGGATTTAAATGTTTTTGGTTATTTGAGTATAGTTGGCATGTACTAATTGGTTGAATTAAATATGCTCTGATTGATTTTTGTTATTGTGGTCAGTTTATGTAACTAAACCTCTTTTACTTTAATGAAATGTTTTAAAAATTCTTTGAATTTTATCAAGAGTCAAAGTTGGAAAAGTCAATGTGACACCTCAGACTCGTATCCGGGTCGAGTACGGGTTGGGGTGTTACACGCTTTGAGTTGCTGTTTATCTCCATTGGTGCTGCGGTTAGTAAATCAATATAATTTTGTTGACTCATTTTTGTTAGTTACATGCATTTTACATTTAAATGATTATATTTCTTGTGTATATGATTTTTTAGATTCGTTCGTTTATTAATTGCATACGCCCAATTATTATAATTGACGGAGCACATTTAAAAGGTCGATACCTTGGAGTAAACTTATTAGCAGTAGCCATGGATGCTAACAATGGGTTACTGCCAATAGCTTACGGGGTTGGCAAATCTGAAACCTCTGATTCATGGACATGGTTTATGGGTCATCTTAGGGATTGCATAGGTCCTATTAGCAATCTGACAATCATATCTGATAGGGCAAACTCAATTGACAACGCTGTTAGAAGGTGTTTCCCAGATGCTTTTCATGGACTTTGTGGTGTTCATTTGTATAGAAATCTAAAATCAAGGTCTGCTGGTATAAAAAATCACAAATGGACATACTGGAAGGCTGTAAAAGCTTATCGGGAAGTGGATTTTAATAAGCATATAAACTGTTTATGACGTGTTTTGCCTCAGTGTACTCAAACACTAGAAGATGTCGGGTTTGAAAGATGGTCAAGAGTACATCAACTTGGAGCGAGATATGGTTTCATGACGTCTAATAGTGCAGAATCAATCAACGCTCTAAGTCTTCATTCCCAGAAACTACCCATTACTATGTTAATGGAGTTTTTTCGAGCCTCTATTCAACAGTGGTACTACAAGAAAAGAAACCATGCAGGTATTATTTCTTTAAATTCGTAACTTATCATATACTTTATTAAGTATTATTTATTTAAATTTACAGGAACATTGGAACATCGTGTTACACCATGGACAGAAAAAAAGATAACGAAACGTGTTGTGAAGTCAACGTCATGGAGAGTTGAACCATGTTCAAACACTTTGTTTGAAGTACTGGATAATAACTTAAATGGGCTTGTCGATCTAAATGCAAAGACGTGTAGTTGTATGAAATGGCAAACATCTGGTTATCCGTGTGGCCATGTTATAAAAGTTTCTCTTCATCTAAACCAAGATGATTCAAGCGCATACGCTATGGATTGCTACACTACAGAAGTATATCGACAGACTTATGGCGAGATTGTCTACCCTATTCCACATCCTTCTAAGTGGGACATACCAGATGACTTACAAACAGTTTTGCCACCAGCCATGGACAGAAGGCTACCTGGCCGACCAAAAAGTCACGATCGTATACCGTCTAAGGGTGAAGAGAATAAGAGATCGACATGTAGTCGGTGCAAGGAAAGTGGTCATACAAGGTTGACATGTGGATCACTAGTGCCATCACAATCATCTTTTCCTCTACCAAAATATGGATCCTCATCAAAATCCCAATCACAACCGGCTTCACCTTTTGGGACTGTTAACTTAGGTGATTTTTAAATGCAAACGTTGTATTATGTGTATATTATGTGTGAACTTTTAACATTTTCAGTTAGGCATGTATTAATAACTTGAGTTTGAACATTGCTATGATATGTTCAGTTGTTATTACTTATTAGACATTCATTTGATTATCGCAACGCGGAAATCGCAACGCGAATATGACTATCGCAACGCGGAATTGACTATCGTAACGCGAAAATGACTATCGCAACGAGAGAATCGTAATGCGAAATGAAAATCGCAACGAGTGAATCGCAATGCGAAAATGAAAATCGCACCATTGTCATAGCGTAAAGTATCAACCTCCTCACGCAAGGCATTGACCTCATTACGTAACTCCCCTAACTCATCCCGTGGAGAACAGGGAGATAAACGTCGTGGCATCTTTGCCGGTCGCCTATCATGAGGAGATGGTGGAGAAGAGGCTCGATGATGTGACATAATAGGTGATGACTCTCGTTGTGGAGGTGTATATTAGGGTCGATCAGGTGATGGCTCTGGGTGAGGTGATGGCTCTCGAAGTGGTGGTTGCTCATCATCCGTGCCATAAAAAAAAGCTTACTAGCTTGCCACCAATCAGTGGCAAGCTCATCTTCCGTGGGTGTCAGCCTCTGTAATGGAGTGTTGGCCTCCTAACAATATAAAAGCTCAAACAAAGTTAAACGTGTACTAGTAATAACTTGTTTATAAACATATGGTAGTATTTGTGTTAACTTACATTATTTATTGTAGTATACGGTAGTAAATCTTCCCATTACTGCAAGGACCGTTTCCTCTTCCAGGAAATAGCCCTAGGAATATCATTAGAAGTTTTTAATGCATATGTCTGCATGGCGGGAAAGGCCTCAAATATCCAAATCTACAAACAATATAATAACAAACATTAGTAATTGTTAAAGAATTAATTATAATTTTGGAAACATTATATAAAAATTATTACCTTAAAGGCCCAAATAAAGCCTGACAAAGTGTATTTGGAACCATCGCCACGCAAACTTTTCCGATCATTAAAGGCAACCGACAACTTATTCCATGTAGCTCTCCATAGATAAGAACCCCACGGAAAAAGGTTCCATGCATTTAGGTCCTCTACCAATTTAATTAGATCATTAGGAATAGGTTGTCGGGCCTCTCTGCCTAAAAAGCCGGCTTGCAAAAGTATTAGAAGGCATACTCGGACACCATCGACATCATCCATCTGAGTAAAACCATCTTTCTTATTCAATAATCTCGTCAAGTCTTCCACGTGTAAATTCGACTTCTCTGTTGACAGCTCAGGAAAAACCCAGGAAAACCATGATAGGCGGGTAATATGTCTAGTGTACCGATCTACATCATCGTGTCCGAAGCGTAGACCGGTGATTAAGCAAAACTCCTCCCGCCCAAAACACGTATACGCCGGTGGAAAATCAAACCATATCTCTTCATCACGACGTTGTATAGTCTCTGGTAGATCGCTAGTCATGGTTTGAAGAAACAGATGGGTCAACATAGCATCTCCACCCAGATGTTGTACTTTCAGCCATGGCCCGAAGCAAGTATCCTCAAATATTTTTCTTTGTGCAGGTGAAAGCTTCGACGCAATTGTTTTGGCCAGGCTTACTTTATTTCTTAAGGTCAATTGAGTCGAATAAAAGTTCTGCAAAAACAATAAAAATATCAATTTAGATATACCAAAAACTACACTGTGAAGATATGAACAATAAACATAAAGAGTAGCAGTTTATTCTTCAAACTTAAATTTGCAACACTGTGAATTTAGTATTTGTTTTTTGGTTGAAGTAATGCAATTCATTCAAGTTTCAATTTGCAGAAGAAGAATAGTTTCTGAAACTTTAAATCGCAACACGAAAATAAAAATCGCAACACGAAAATGACTATCGCAAGGCGAATTTGACTATCACAACGCAAGAATCGCAACGCGAAATGAAAATCGCAACGACATAATCGCATTGCGATAGTCATTCTCGGTTTCAAATACTAAAATTGAAAGAAACTTGAATGGATTGCATTACTTCAACCAAAAGACAAAACAAAGACAAATACTAACTTCACAGGGTTAAAGACTAAACAATTTAGCAATATTGGCAGCAATCGAATGAATATAATAAGCAATCTAAGTGAAATGGTTAATCTATTATTGAAAACACCAGTAAACTTATCATCAATTTTAATATGAAAAACCTAATAATAATGCAAAAATTTCAAAATAAAAATAATTAAAAAAACTAACTCTCGGTGGTTGATTTGGTTGATTTTCCATTTCTGACCGTGATTGATTTCGCCGGAGATGGAGACTGATATCGTCGTGGGGACTGATTTCGTCGGAGATGGGGACGGATGTCGCCTTAGAGAGTGAGAGATGTAGATGAGACTGAGTTGTGATTTAGTGTTTTAGGCTATGAGTTGCGATTACGGGATATACTGTGGACGGTTCAGTGTTCTGATATATTAATATATTCGTGTTTAGAATTTGAAAAAAAAATACATGTTAATACTAATGGCGCTATGTAAATCGCATTGCGATAGTCAGATTCGCATTGCGATTTACGTATTCGCATTGCGATTTACGTATTCGCGTTGCGATTTTCCAAATTCGCGTTGCGATTTACGTATACGCATTGCGAATTAGGAAAATCGCAACGCGAATTTAGGAAATCGCAATGCGATAGTCAGAATCGCGTTGCGAATCTGGAAACTGATTTGCGATACCGGAGATCGCGTTGCGAATTATCGATCGCATTGCGATTTAGTTGGTCATTTTGGCAAATCCAAAAAAAATTAGTTAAAATCGTATATTATAAGATATTTTTTGTCGCTGAAGTTATTTTCTCTTTTTTAAATCCTCAAACACAAACTTATTGGGGGTGGTGAGATCAAATTGTTTCGAGATATTCTCCCTGTTGATGGTCTTTGGCTTGATATGAACGAGTTATCCAACTTTATTACATCCTCTCCAAAGCCAAATTCCGCCATTGATGATCCTCCTTACAAGATCAACAACCAAGGGATCCAACGGCCCATTAATAATAAAACAGTTCCGCAACAGCTTTGCATTTTGGAAATCTGACAGAGTACAATGTTCATAATTTGTACGGTTTACTGGAATGCAAAGCAACTCGTGCGGCATTATCCAATCTGACCGGAAAATGGCCATTTATACTTAGCAGATCGACTTTTGTAAGCTCTGGAAAGTATACGGCACACTGGACTGGAGACAATGCAGCCACTTGGGAGGATTTGGCTTACACAATTCCATCCATTTTAAACTTCGGACTCTTTGGTATTCCAATGGTTGGTGCCGATATATGTGGCTTTTCAGGGAATACAACTGAAGAGCTCTGCAGACGATGGATCCAAGTAAGTCCCTGTATATGTTACTTGAACTCGGTTGTTCTATCACATTGCGTATATGCACAATTGATTCCGATTCTTGTTGTAAATGCAGCTGGGGGCTTTTTACCCTTTAGCTAGAGATCACTCAGAAATTAATTCAATTCGCCAAGAGCTGTATCTATGGGACTCCGTCGCTGCCACCGCTAGGAAAGTTCTGGGTCTTCGGTATCGCCTGTTGCCATACTTTTACACTCTAATGTACGAGGCACACACGAAAGGGACTCCCATCGCAAGGCCTCTGTTTCTCACATTCCCACAAGATGTTCATACCTACGAAATCAATTCGCAGTTTCTCGTAGGCAAAGGCATAATGGTATCACCTGCATTGAGTCCTGGAGTGGTTTCAGTCGATGCATACTTCCCAAGTGGAAACTGGTTCGATCTCTTCAATTACTCCAATTCAGTGAATTCATCATCCGGGAAATACTTCACACTTGCCGCACCACCTGATCATATAAACGTGCATGTCCGAGAAGGCAACATCATAGCCATGCAAGGAGAGGCAATGACGACGACAGCTTCTAGGAAAACACAGTTTCAACTCTTGGTGGCCGTCAGCAAATCCGAGAATATCACGGGGGAACTGTTCTTGGATGGCGGAGAGGCGGTGGAGATGGGGGAAATTGGAGTATGGTGAGATTTCATGGTGCAGATGCTGTTGATGATATCTTTGTTAGATCAGAGGTTGAGAATGGGGAATATGCTTTGAGTCAAGAATGGATCATAAATACAGTGACATTCGTGGGGTTGGAAAAATCTCGGAGGGTGAAGGGGTTTGAATTAAGCACAGCAAACACACCAGATTTGAATGGAAATCCTGTTTTTAAGGCAAAATTAGACAAGGATGCCCAATTCCAGGTTGTGGAAATCACAAGACTGATGCTACCTGTGGGAAAGGATTTCAATTTACAACTCAAAACTCACTGAAGTTAGGATTTTAAGAAGAAAGTGACCTCTATGGTGGCCCTGTGATAAATCAGGATCAATAAAATAAATAATGAATTGCCAGCTCTTACTTGCACCAGTTTAGTGTTTGAAAGGATAATTATTTAAATGTTATAATGTTCCATTGAATTGAAATTCAAAATATATTTAAATCTAAAACAAAATAAATGTAGACAAAATCACCAAACTTGAATTAATATCTAAATGCTGTTACTACCTCAAACAACTAAAATATACGTGGACAAGAACAACTAATAAAACCAAAGCCAAATCCCTCCTTGATTTGTTTCCTTTGCAAAGAGATTGCGGTGGAGCTGCTCATGAATTAGCTCAACCAAGTCCTCTGATCAGGCTTGTAATTATTGGGTACTGGATTGCCCAACCCGTATCCGACAGATTGTTTCAACGATGCTATAAACTGCCAATGAAAATCTTTGGTATTACCTTCAAAGATAAAAAAACCTAGCTGTTTATATATGTACGTGTATATATATACTTGTGTGTGTACAAGAGAATAGCACTGCAGACAGGCCGGTCTGAAACAGCCCCCCCTAAAAAAAAACATGAGTACGACTCAACAAAATAACTTGTCGCGTAATCTTTTATTGTTTCTGATAATCATTTCTTCTTGCTCAGTAATTCATGGTGTTAATGAAGCTGTTGGTTATGGCTACAAACTAAAATCTGTTTCCGTTGACGCGAACAATAAGTGGTTGACCGCTGATCTTGCTCTTATCCGCAACTCCTCTGTTTATGGACCTGATATACAAAATCTCAATCTTTTCGCCAGGTAATTTTTTTATCAGCTGTCGTGATCTTGTTTCTAAACTTCAGATTTCCAGGGTCAAGTCGTAACGATTTAAACTTTTCTGTATCAAGCTTCGAGACAAGCAATCGTTTGAGAATCAGAGTTAAAGACTCGGTGCATCAAAGATGGGAAATCCCACAAGAAATCATTCCTCGCCAATCTCAAGATAATTTCCCCCTCAGTTCATCAGTGAACCACCCAACGCGGAAGCTAAAGGAAACCCACTCGTTGTCAGACCCAACATCGGACCTCATTTTCACCCTCCGAAACACCACTCCATTGGGGTTCTCGGTGACACGTCTCTCCTCCGGCGACACCCTTTTCGACGCATCTCCGAACCCATCGGATCCAAGCACTTTCTTGGTGTTCAAGGACCAGTATATTCAACTCTCCTCCGCGCTGCCTGTAAACAAGTCGTCTCTTTACGGACTGGGGGAGCACACAAAGAGATCGTTCAAGTTACAACATGATGAGACTTTGACGTTGTGGAATGCGGATTTAGCGAGTGCTGATCTCGATGTTAATCTCTATGGATCGCATCCCTTCTACATAGACGTAAGATCAGCATCTGAAGATGGCAGAGTAGCAGCAGGGACTAGCCATGGAGTCTTATTGCTTAATAGCAATGGGATGGACATAGTTTATGGAGGAAACAGGATAACTTACAAGATTACCGGAGGTGTTATAGATTTGTATGTTTTTGGTGGACCATTGCCTCACACTGTCATTCAGCAGTATACTGAGCTTATTGGCCGCCCTGCTCCCATGCCTTATTGGTCCTTTGGTGAGTATACAGTTCTTCTTAAAAGTTTTTCTACAACACCACTCTTTTCCGTTCACCTCCATTATTTTTCTTAAAAGAAAAGGATGTCTATTCAACATAATTGATGCTGAAATCAACAAGAAACAAACTATTATAACATGTTGATAATTGTTGGAGTTGGTTTATGTATTTGATTGATTAATGCATTCATCATCACTCAATTCGGTATTGTTTGTTCAAAGGATTTCATCAGTGCCGGTGGGGCTACAAAAATGTTTCCGACGTCGAGGATGTGGTTGCCGGCTATGCAAAAGCCAACATTCCCCTTGAAGTTATGTGGACAGACATTGATTACATGGATGGATTCAAGGACTTCACTCTTGACCCCATCAACTTCCCTGAGGATCAGATGAAACAACTTGTCTATAAACTTCATCGGAATGATCAGAAATACGTCGTCATCGTAGATCCTGGTAATTTACAATGCAAGCATATTGGTAGTGATAGATATAACCGAAACTGTATAATTAACGATCTTAACACACACGAACTATGATTCCAACGTTGACAGGTATCAGTGTAAACAGTACTTATGGAAGCTATATCAGAGGGATGGAAGCTGACATATTCATAAAAAGAGATGGCATCCCTTACTTGGGCGAAGTTTGGCCTGGTCCAGTTAACTTCCCAGATTTTTTAAATCCTCGAACACAAACTTATTGGGGTGGTGAGATCAAATTGTTTCGAGATATTCTCCCTGTTGATGGTCTTTGGCTTGATATGAACGAGTTATCCAACTTTATTACATCCTCTCCAAAGCCAAATTCCGCCATTGATGATCCTCCTTACAAGATCAACAACCAAGGGATCCAACGGCCCATTAATAATAAAACAGTTCCTGCAACAGCTTTGCATTTTGGAAATCTGACAGAGTACAATGTTCATAATTTGTACGGTTTACTGGAATGCAAAGCAACTCGTGCGGCATTATCCAATCTGACAGGAAAAAGGCCATTTATACTTAGCAGATCGACTTTTATAAGCTCTGGGAAGTATACAGCACACTGGACTGGAGACAATGCAGCCACCTGGGAGGATTTGGCTTACACAATTCCATCCATTTTAAACTTTGGACTCTTTGGTATTCCAATGGTCGGTGCCGATATATGTGGCTTTCAGGGAATACCACTGAAGAGCTCTGCAGACGATGGATCCAAGTAAGTCCCTATATATGTTACTCGAACTCGGTTGTTCGTATCACATTGCGTATATGCACAATTGATTCCGATTCTTGTTGTAAATGCAGCTGGGGGCTTTTTACCCTTTTGCTAGAGATCACTCAGAAATTAATTCAATCCGCCAAGAGCTGTATCTATGGGACTCCGTCGCTGCCACCGCTAGGAAAGTTCTGGGTCTTCGGTATCGCCTGTTGCCATACTTTTACACTCTAATGTACGAGGCACACACGAAAGGGACTCCCATCGCAAGGCCTCTGTTTCTCACATTCCCACAAGATGTTCATACCTACGAAATCAATTCGCAGTTTCTCGTAGGCAAAGGCATAATGGTGTCACCTGCATTGAGTCCTGGAGTGGTTTCAGTCGATGCATACTTCCCAAGTGGAAACTGGTTTGACCTCTTCAATTACTCCAATTCAGTGAGTTCAACATCCGGGAAATACTTCACACTTGCCGCGCCACCTGATCATATAAACGTGTATGTCCGAGAAAGCAACATCATAGCCATGCAAGGAGAGGCAATGACGACGAAAGCTGCTAGGAAAACACCGTTCCAACTCTTGGTGGCCGTCAGCAAATCCGAGAATTTCACGGGGGACCTGTTCTTGGACGACGGAGAGGCGGTGAAGATGGGGGAAGATGGGGGAAATTGGAGTATGGTGAGATTTCATGGTGCAGATGCTGGTGATGATATCTTTGTTAGATCAGAGGTTGAGAATGGGGAATATGCTTTGCGTCAAGAATGGATCATAAATACAGTGACATTCGTGGGGTTGGAAAAATCTCGGAGGGTGAAGGGGTTTGAATTGGGCACTGCGAACTCAACAAATATGAACGGAAATCCAGTTTTGAAGGCAAAATTAGACAAGGATGCCCAATTCCAGGTTGTGGAAATCACAAGACTGATGCTGCCTGTGGGGAAGGAGTTCAATTTGCAACTCAAAACTCACTAAAAAGAATTTTAAGAAGAGAGATAGACGTCTATGGCGGCTCTGTGATAAAATCAGGATCAATAATATAAATAATGAAATGCCGTCTTACTCGCATCAGTTTATAATGTTTGGAAGGATAATTATTTAAAGCATTGAGCAGAAGATGTTTAATTTTATAAACGGATTAAAAATGATATGTATTTTTAGTTAATATTTAAATAAATAAATAATACTATTTATCTAAATTTAACAAAGTTATTCATATAAGCTTAATCTTAAAGATTATATATATATATATATATATATATATATACAAAACCAGGCATAATCTCAGGATCTTAAATCTACATTCATATATATATATATAACATATGCAAACATATTGTACGTATAATATATGTGTGTCTTGCATGCATGCATGAGACATGATGATGAGACGTGAAAAATTAATGAACCGAAGGTAGTCAAATAATAATAGATTAGACTATGTTGGTTAGCCGGAGAAGATGTTTTTTCTTGGACCCCAAACCGGGCTCCCGTTTAACTTTGACCAAATGGCTCAAAACTTTGGCATAGCGACTCATCATTCCTTTGAGCTTTTCCCCATTGTTATACTGTTGGTTTTTCTTCACCAGCTGCAGATGTTGCTCCTCTTCCGAGAAGTGCCGGCCCAGTGAAGTTGTGTTACCGCCCGTTTCATCGCCATTGATGAGTTGCTTCAAGCTTTTATGATCCTCGGTTTCAAATTCCTTGTCATTAGACTCAGGTTGTTGGGGATCATTCAGTGGCTTCCTGGTTCTCTTGGACAGTGCAATGTCGTAATGGGGCTTGCTTACCATTTCCTACCAAACCAAACTACATCTGAAGATGTAAAAGAGGGGCTTGCTTTTGTTTTTGGTTGGTGAGTAATTATTATATAGAAAAAGGAAAACCCACATCGGAAGTGTACTAAAATGTCAAAATCTAAATTATTGATTAAAGATGAAATGTCTCCCTCTCTCTCCAACTAAAGAGATTAACCATCCCCTCGAGCCGGTGAAACACAGCATTACCAGAAGCTGAAATATTACCAACCAAACTTCAACATTTCCCTCATTTCCATTCTAGAAGATGAAAAAAAAAAAACTCATTTAAAAGGATTCTGAGAGTTTTAATATTCAAAGATTTAAGTCTTCTACAAGTTTCTTTTTTTGTTATATGTTAAGTAATTTTAAATCATAAATATGAAAATGAGATGTATAATAAATATGTCTATGATTAAAAAATCAATACAATTTAAATATTATATAAAAATAACATAGTTTAAAAAATAGAGATGGAAAGAAAAAAATGGATATTTAACAGTGATTCAATTTTACGAATCTAGATAATTTAACACCATCCCGTTGCGGGTACCGCAGGTGAACTGAACTAAATTGTCAAAGATTGCTAGAAGAAAGGAGATGGGACATAACTTCTCTTCTAACTTGGTCTCTTCTTATCTTTCCGGTTGTTGTTAGTGGAAATTGGGTCCTCCATAAAATAAAGATCTTTGGTATTTTAAACCTGATAAGAGTAGGAAATAAATGTCTTTGGCGTTTTAAAATAAATGTCTTTTGGAATAAAAGTTTAACAGAGCGTACCTGGTTAAATTCTTTTCTCTACAATAACGTCCAAGGATTGTACTAGACATGAATAGCTCGTTGCTTTGAACTGAACTGTCATCAGACCACTGCCAATTCTCTCTTAATCGAATGCAAGCGACAACCACCTCTGCTAGGCGAGGATCAGGGATTCCTACAACAATGGAGGAGAGAACTCCGGGATGTTGTATTAGCACTGCTTCTACCTATATGATCAAACAGATTAGCATTAGAAAGTAAATCTAGAATCAAATTTAAGTGGCGTATCAGTAACTGATAGGAACTGTATTGATACTTAGTGCTTACCTCTTCAGGGTATATTTTCTCCTCCACTCTTGATTCGACCATTGGTTCGTCCAACAAGCCACAAGTTACCCTGGTCATCAACGAACCCAATGTCACCCGTATCTAGCCAAGTTTCTTCGATAGAATTTGATGCCTTGTCTGGAACTTGATCCCAGTACCTTAGCATTACGTGTGGACCTCTGGTGAGAATCTTTCCAACATTAGAAGAGCCATCATTGCATATCTTTATTTCAACATGTGGAGCAGGCTTGCCGACACAAACACCTCGTGTTTTGACAGGACTTGAATTAGTTTCGGCAAACATCTGCAGTGATGTACCAGTTGCCTCGAGCGTTGACTCAAAGAGGGTCATGAAGGCCAGAGAAGAACATGCCTCTGTCATCCCATAAGCTGAAAGAAGTTTTGCTCTTGGGAATAATTTGATTGCATCTTTAATAATGTTGTCTGATAAGCCTCCTCCTCCATTTAATATCTTCTTCACACTGTCACTTCCCTTCCAACTTTGATTCAGCCCGGTTGACGAGATTAGATCAGCTATCATTGCTGGGACAGTAATTAGAGAAGTCACACGGTGTTGTTCTATGGCTACGAGGGCTAATGTAGCTTCAAACTTGGGTATGAAGATATGGCAAGCTCCTACCATTAGCATGGCCATGGCTGAGGACAAACCACCAATGTGGCACAAGGGAGTAGTATGTAAATAAACCTGGAAGTAACCAGACAATAAATAATTAAGAAGTTAGTGGGACTAAAGGAAACAGACGTTACTCTCTTGTCTGACACAGGCATAGAGATAACCTCCAAAGACACCACATATATTAAAAACCTTAGAAAATCTGGTTATACACGAATAGGACACATATATCTGACACACACCGAGTCTGGAAAGCATAGGTATGATTCCATCCATATTAATCAGGTAAATCCACTTCGGAACAACCATGTTTGAAGTATTTTACCTCTTCTTTGTCTACAATCATATCCTTTAGATACAGTCAAAATGAAAATACATATTTCTAGAAGAAAGGCGTACATCATCCTCACTGTAACCAACAACTGCCACTTTTGCGAGGGATTGTACAATTAAAGCTGTATGGCTTATCACAACTCCCTTTGGCCTCCCAGTAGTTCCTATAAATAGCCAAGGAAAACGAATACCAAGCACTAAGATATTTTTGCACATTTGTGTATGACGAAACAAAAAGCAAAAGCTACACTTATATTGTTAGTTAAGACTCATTTTCCCCCTTATTTTCTTTACTTTATGACAAAATAAATGCAGAGAAAAATAGTGAAAGGGGAAAACTTAAAAGTACTTAATATTGCTTAGAAGCTATAGTAGAGATCTCAATTCAAGACAACATATTAATATTCCAAATAAGGAAAACTTAAAGAGTACTTAATATTCAAAATACATACCTGACGTGAAGCATATTACAACACCACCCTCTGGTGCAAATGAGTAATTCATAGATCCAAATCTTACAGATTGCCCCACAAGCATTTCCGCAGTTAATACTGGAATTATGAGGCCAAAGCTATTATGGTTATTGATTCATCATATATCCCAAATGTGACTTCATTTTCTACTACATTTAGATGTCAAGACAAAATACATACTGTTACATTTGTTTATAACATCCGAGGAAGGGGAGCTTAATGAGACATGCCACGTTAAAGACGGTATAGCATCACCCTGGGGTGCAGAATGCCAGTGGTAACAGCTCTCATCTGTCACCAACATTTTTGGTCTTGTGGTTACCATAGCCATTCTAGCCTCTTCAAAGCTCTATATTTAGGAAAGACATTGCAGTGCAAGAAATCAGACAATATTTCATAGCAGACAACATCTCTTACTCTACAGAAAACTTATGACAAACCCATTCAACCCTAGTAAGGAGATTCTATATTATATTTTACATTCCTCTCTTGTGAAGAAATTCATGAAAGAAAAGGTTAAAACAACAACCATTCAAAGATATGTTATGGATTAAGAGAAAAGGAATAGATACGAGAGAAGAATTTAGAGAAGAGAGATTTTAGAAGAGGAATTCATCATTCATTACATAAGGAAAAATTGTTCTCTCAACAGGTATTATTTAGTTACAAGGAGAATCTAAGAATGCCAGTTGGCATAACAAACTGTTAACAGAATTGTCTGTCTTTTCCTTTCTTAAGCAGGTACTGGGCCATCTAGTTTTGGGCCACTCCAGCCTTCCTTGGATCCATTTGTCTGCTCCATCTCATCAGGTAAATTAATCAAATAACTCTCTCGTGCTTCAATTCCCAAATTACTGTCTCCAATCCCTAACCCTTGCTCGTTTATTCCCAATTCCTCTCTTCGCTCGTCCTTTCTCCGATCCTCCTCTCTTCATCGTTCTTCTTCCTCTCCGACCATAACAATACCCGCCTCACGAGACGAGCCTTGTCCCCAAGGATCGCAATTAGGAAACTGCCCTCTGAGAACCGAATAGTCTTCCCATGTATCATTCGATTCATCCATATTTTCCCATCGAACCAAAAGCTAAGTCACTAGTTTATTGTTTCGATTCACTATATGTCTTCCCATAATGTTCAAATGGTTAATTCTGAATTGTCCTTCTTCATCGACTGCAGGAGTTTCTGTGGCAGCAGCAGAAGAATCCCCGATGAACTTCTTCAAGAGGCTCACGTGGAAGACTCGGTGGAGTTTCGATGAATCTGGTAAGTCTAATTGATAGGCCACCTCTCCTATTTTTTCCAGAATTTTATAGGGTCCATAGTATCTGGCTATTAACTTGAGGTTTTTACGCATAGCAATCGAAGTTTGTCTATATGGCTGCAACTTCCGATAAACCCTATCTCCCACATTAAAAACCCTTTCTGACCTATTTTTATATGCCTGCTGTTTCATACGGTTACTAGACAATTCTAGTTGATGCTTTACTAATTGTCTGATTTGTTCTCTGCTATTCATAATATCCTGTACTGTTTGTAATGGAGTCTCTGTAGGCCAAACCATAATAGGTGGTTTGTATCCATATAAAGCTTGAAAAGGAGTAACCTTAAGAACAGTGTGATAAGTGGTATTGTACCACCACTCTTTACCTCCCAAGACGACAATGATCTTTTCCAAACCAAATCTAACCTCAAACAGCTCTGTTTTCCTCTGTTCTGAGTCTAGCTTATTCATAACATGTGTTTTAATTTCTTCTTTAAGATGCTTCATTCAAAATTCTGTCTTGAAAACGTATACTGTAGTTCTTCCACATAATCATTCTCGAAAGCATCAACTGGAATCTCATAAATCCTCATTTTAGGCTTGGAATGATCCTTCACAAGTACATATTTCCCCTCATTTAACTTCATACACAAGTCAACAATAGACTTCACAATCCCCCACATTTTCGCAGTATTGAGATTAATTTGAGCAGCACAATCTCTCGATTTGTAACCAACAACACCCAATATCACATGGTTAAAATGATCCCTAGGATGCACCCTCGAAACATATCCCAATTTCATCAAATTAGCATTGGCTAAAATCGCTTGTGCAATCAATTTAGCCAACTTATTTTCACTATTCTTCAACTCAGTAACCAAAACCGCACCCCTTTGAGTCTCCAACTTCTGCCTCCAATCAACACCAAAGTACTTGGGATCAAACTCATTAAGTGCATTCAAAGTAAGGAAGGACTTCTGGTTATTAACATCAACAACACTCTGACCCTCACACTGAGCAACTAACTGCATATCATTATCAAGCTTCCACCTTCTATACCTATAAGTAACAGAAGCCACTTCGTCGCCTTCATTGTCAAACAGATTTGGCTCATCGAAACTAACTTTATTCCCATGTCTAACTAAAACCTGCTGTGAAAACTCTTCCGATTCTCTCTCCTCTTCAGATTAAGAAATGAAGTTATTTACTCTCTTTTTTTAATTCCACAACAGATGGTGTAGCTTTCTCCCTTAAGAATGCCATAATTTTTTGTTTGGCACTACGTGTTTTAGCATGTTGCAGCCAATGTTTATGCCTTTGAAAAGCTGATTTGCTTGAGAGCACGTTATACGTGATAATCTCCACAGCTTCGACATTGGTGAGTACATGTGTTGGAGAAACAAGATTACCAATGTCCATTGCAGCTACCATTTTGTTTCCAAGATCAATGTGTATCATGTAGGCATAATCAATTACAGTAGCCCCTCTAGGCAGATTTTTAATCTCTCCCCTTGGGGTAAATACAAAGTCACGACTACCTAAGAGATCTCTGGTGATGGTATCCACAAATTCCCTAGAACTCGTGTTGCCAACAATATCCTCTAGCCATTCTCTAATTACATTGAGCCACCCAACCCTGAGTGCTACGTTTGCATGTTAAGGCAAAGTGCCTTCCCTCTTGTACTTCGAGTATTTAGCTCTGCATGCTCAACTAGACCAGTAACAAAGACTCCCCCACTATAATGAGCAGCAATCCCTCTTTCAACTATCAAATCCATCTCGTCAGTTCTAATATGAAATTCCAGACAAAACATGCTTTCATACAAAAATAAAATTATTGTTGTATGAAGACTTTGATAGCCATTAGGTTTTGATGTTGCTATGTAATCTTTCATAGCTCGAGGAACAGGAGTCCAGTTGCTATAGATAAGACCATAGTAGCAAATCTGCTGTGGACTACAAAAAGGTAGGTCGATGTTGTCCATATCATAAACACTGAGATTGCTCCATATACCCAACTTCAATAGAATAGAAAGAAAAAGGTGCAACCTTTGATTCACACTCAAATTCTTAGCCAAATAAATTATACTCTTTCCCATCAACAAAAGCCGAAACACAAAAGGATCAAAAGTTTCAACATGTTCATTAATATCCCTAAACATCTTAGAACAAATTTCTCTAAACGTGGATGGAACTGGATAGTTGAAATTATTTGAATTACCCACAGAAAAATCAACTATGAAGGGTGTAAAAGTAGCAATTCGAACTGATGTAGGCAAACCTGGCTTCTCAAACCGTGGAACAACTCTTAATGGTTTCCCATGGCATTCACGCTACAGGAGCTCAAGAACATCAGAAGAGGCAGTTGCAATTGAAATGGCGCATGCTCCAAAGTTGTTTGCCGGAAACTCTGCCATAATACTGATTGTATCCAAAACATCACCATTTTCTTCTGTTATAGGAAGATCAAAACCAAACAGCTTTTGTTCTTCAGACCACTCACGATTGGAACCAATTTCCAAGTGTTGGGTATTAGTGATGGATGACATTTTATCAAACACTTGACACACATCATTTGTGCCTTCGATTGCCACAGGTAACGACTCCGTTTCAGGGTTGTTTTGGTCTTGCTCCACCGTCTTTCCTGTCAATACTCTTAGGATCTGTTCAAAATAACCCTTATTATTTGCAATCCTTGTCTCCAGGTACTGCTGATCTTGTTTCAGCAGCTTTGATAAGTCGTCAATCTGGTTTTGAATTGTAGAAAGAGCAGAGGATTCAACCATTGCTTTGCCAGGAGTTGTGGCTCTGATTACCAATTTTTATGGATTAAGAGAAAAGGTATAGATACAAGATAAGAATTTAGAGAAGAAAGATTTTAGAAGAGGAATTCATCATTCATTGCATAAGGAAAAATTGTTCTCTCAACAGGTATTATTAGTTACAAGGAGAATCTAAGAATGCCAGCTGGCATAACAAACTGCTAACAAAATTGTTGTCTTTTCCTTTCTTAAGCAGGTATTGGGCCATCTGGTTTTGGGCCACTCCAGCCTTCCTTGGATCCATTTGTCTGCTCCATCTCATCAGGTAAATTAATCAAATAACTCTCTCGTGCTTTAATTCCCAAATTACTGTCTCCAATCCCTAACCCGTGCTCGTTTATTCCCAATTCCTCTCTTCGCTCGTCCTTTCTCGGATCCTCCTCTCTTCGTCGTTCTTCTTCCTCTCCGACCATAACAAGATACAAATTTATGTCGACTAGTTTATGAAACATTACCCTATTTCACATATAAAAACATAATTATTCAAAAATTTATATGAAACAAACAAACCTCAATAATCCCAATTCCAAGAGAAATTTGAAATGTGGCAGAAATTCCAATCAAATAGTTAAGAATCTATTCAACATAGGAATATTTAAGATCCCAAAGAAACTAGAGTTAATAAAAAATCCTTTTATTCTCTTGCTCAAACAAATTAAACAAACTCTAAATACTTGAAATAGGAAACAGTTAGAGCGACTGTTAAGAGAAACTGAGATGCTAACCCATCGATAATTCAAAGGAGCAACTATGCCTCCAATAAACGCAACAGCTAGTATCCACTCTAAATACCAATCACTGGAACAACATGAATTTAATATCAGAAGAAAAAATTAAAACAAAATAAATAACACGCATATGCACCATGCCTCGACTTCACTGTGCTCTTAACCCAGTCAAACTATAGTTTTTATAATGTCTTCAATATAAATAAAAGTTTGAAAAAAAAAGTGACTTCAAGCGATTTTCAGGTTTGAATTTTGCCAAAAATTATAATTATTTAGTCAAATAAATTTACAAATAGCAATTCAGTAACTCAAGAAGTTATTTCAGTGACAAAAAGTAACGTATTCCATTAGATGATTAGAGTTTGAGTAATATTATTTGTATTGTGTGCACGAATTTATCCAAACAAAAAAATGACACATACTGTTATGGAAACACAAATAGATTGTTGCCGCTAAACAGATTTGCTTGCATGATGAGCTCCCAACTGAAAGATTACATATGATAAATATTAGAATAGTAGTAAATCTTTTCATTGGTTTTGATTTTTGAGTACAAAGAGATTATCTAGTAAAATTAATGATTAGAAGAATTATTCTATTAGCTATTTGAATAACCAATGTTTATTCTTGCATCCACGAATTAAAATATTATTATTTGTTTTACTTGCTACACGATAAGAAAATGATGTCTACATCATGTAATACATAAATTATGTTTAAGTAACGGTCTGAAATTCTAAGTTTGAGACTTTTATTTAATTCAAGTTTTATAAATATTTATATAACAAATTAATAATATAAAAAAAAAAACAAAACCATCGCCCTCGCATAGAATAATTTGCATGCTTAAACCTGATAAACGATATTTAATTTATAAATTTCGAACAATATCAATTAATTAAATGAGTCAGTGAGAAACAATGCGTGTAATGTCGTCATAGGTTAACGCATTATAATTTAATTCTTAAGCTAATGTCAATGAATGCCTTCGTCATGAAAAAAAAATAGCATCTCACACCCAAACACGGTCAACAAAAGATAAAGCAAACTGCGTTTGGCAAGAAGGAAAAAAATTGCCGGACAGTTTATGTTATTGAAAAATGCAATTGGAGTTTGAAACTGAAATTTTCCGGTAAGAACCTGTTGAAAGCAGAGATTGCAACAACATCGCCGTTTCGGAGGCCAAGTTGGAGCAGGCCACGAGCCAGACTCAGGACGCTCTCGACGAACTGCTGGCCGGTTTTCTGGCGGCCGCTGCTGATAGTAACGAGAGAGTTACGTTTTTGGGTGGCCAAGCGGGTTAAGCACTGGCAAACATGGGCCTCCGAGAAAATTCCCATGACTAGAGAGTAGAGACCACACTTTGCTGAAAAATAACGAAAGCTGTTTGCGAGATTTGAATGATAATGAACAACGAGAGGTTGAAAACCCTGCTTATCTTATGAAAATTGAAGAAAATGAACGGTTCCCTCTACGCCTGCTGTGATGGTTTGGCATTTCACAGGCTCTTTTCATTGGACATCAACGACTGCCACTTATCAATCCGAATGTTGCATTTCTGTCGTTTGGCTTGACTATTAAATGATTAGTATAATTAAAAAAAATAATGTCATAAAGCTATATCTACATAATAAATTATTAATTTCTTTAATTGATAATTTAATATTACCATTTGATATATATATATCCTGCATTTGTTATCTCATCTAAATTCAAAATAGAGAAACGATTATACAAGTATTTCTCCATGTAATATCTTTAATTATGGTTTTACATGTGATTAGGCTTAAGATACACATTAACAAGGTTTAGCCCAAGTGATTAGCAGCTTAAAAAGAAATCAAGGATGGAAAAAGACAATATAAGGCAACATCAAATCATTATGCCCCTGTACGTGTCATGAAACATTCCTTAATTTATTCAAACACGACTTGAATCAATAGTTTAATTTAATGAGATCCAGTCCTCGACTCCAAATAAAATGTGCACTTCAGAAAAAATTATTGCCTATATTCAAAATTAACACCAACAGAGCAAATTGAAGCCAATACAATTACACTACACATGCTTACTGATCGAGAGGCAGCCACTCTAGTTCTACATCAATTTCTCCAGATTCAACTTTTTGGAGCCGGAGTGATACTTCTTGTTTCACCCTCCCATCGACAATGTTGATGATGCTATCCTCAATAAGGGCATTATCATTTGACTTCAGCCATTTTCCGATCTGCATATCCCCGAACATTTGCGGGTCACCATACGACATTGCAGACGTTATCAAGGGCTGGATATCGATCTCTGCTTCTCCCATTATATCATCAGCTGAGAACGTGTCGTGGTCATATACTTGCTACATTAGAAGCTCAAAAGATTAGAGAAACTCAATCGTAACTATGCTTAAGATGACAGGAAATCTTGGATGAATGAATGAATAATGCAAGCATCGGCAGATCAATCACATATCTTGTCATCGTAAATAACAAAATGATTAAACTAGTATAATAATAACACCGGCCTGTTCTACTGTAGGCTCTTACGACTGCCATTTTATCTAAATATCTTTGAATTGGAACAATCCAAAACCTGGAAGACAAAAACCCAGCCAACATGTAGCCAAAAAAACCCCAAACCCAAGAAATCCTTAACAGAGCCAAATAATAGAACTCGTATGACTTGACCTAAATCCAACTCAATCAGCCTAATCACCACGAACAGATCTACATGACTAGGTAGAACCACAACCATCATATTTAATACATAAAGAGTGTAATAGTAGTGCTAAAAAATAGTACTTTTTTCACTACAAAATTTCTTTTATTAAGTAAACGAGCTACATAGTTTCTGAATAACTGAGATTAATAGGAAAAGAACTACACTTACCAACTTCACAGGCCTGTAGTTGGTAGGAACGGATAGCATGAGTTCCTCATTCCAAACAGGATTCAGGTTGCTTGATTTTACAGTCGTCCGAACAGTCTAATAAGATCAGAAGTCACCCATTATTACCATGAGCTAAAAAAAAGGAACCATTCAAAGCAAATGAATCTAATTTTGGTAGGAAAACAAAAACATAAGAAGACATTAGACATGTAAAGCATCTCAAAAGGTACATGTATGCAGTACCAATCTACGACTCTTTCTTTATTTTTCTTTAAGTACTTGTGTCTGATATGTAACTGGAAATAAGCATAGAAATATAACCTTTCAAATATTGCTCCAACCAAATACATGAAAAAACTTGGATTTTTTTTTTTAACATAACCATGATGGACGCATACCCACCCATATCAAATACAGGAAGTTCAGGTAACATAAGTAGCAATTAAGAGGACAAATATATGCAGTACAGCAAAAGCTTTAATAGAGGTCTGATTTGAACCACAAAACCACAATACTACCAAGTGGTACTAAAAGTTGGCCAATAATTTTGTGATTTGAACCACAAATCCACAAATGATCTTTGCTGAAATCTTATTCCCATATTTGGTTTGTCCCCATTAGGAGGGAAAAGAATATTACCAAGAGTAGCGTTTTTTTAGCAACGTGGTGGGAATGTCATTCTCACACATTCCTTAGGTATTTGTCAATTCCTACCATTTTAGACAAAAAAAATCCTCCAAAAAACCAAGTTTTCTTTATATTGGTCCATTTGTATTTCATATTAGTTTAATATTTAAATAGCATTACACATTTAAATAGCGTTACACATATTTAAATAATGTTTTAAAATATAATGTATTTTTATTAATATTGTGTAGTTTTTTATCAAAGAATATTGTGTTTAAGATGTATCTAAAATTATTTTTTAAACATATGAACTAAATATCTAGTTCATAATGTAAATTAGAATGAGATAATGTAAACCTGATTCGAATTTGAACTTTATTTTTTTATATGAGAATTTGGTTTGCAAGCTCATGACAATGAAGCTGTCATAAATTAATCAAAGTCACTCGAATTTGGTTCGATAATGAATGTGTTAAAACTCAAAATTTCGGGATTGCCACACTTTTGGGTTCTTTAAGAACTAGAAAAACAATATTGTTATTGGCAAGAGCTAGAAAGCTTGATCATCATCTAAGGGTGAGTTTCCAGCTCTAAAATATTTTTTAATAACTTAAACAATTATTTTTTATCACTAAAAAATCAACTTAAAGTTCAATTATATACTATTATAAAACTAAATACAAAATATTTTCTCATTTAATTTTTTAAACATTGCTTAATTTACTAATTTATTAATAATATATTATCTTTTTGGTAAAATTTAAATAGTGCAACGAAATCACAATGACGAATTGGTAAATTTTGATTTCAGGTAATCTTATATTCACACAACCAAACATTGCAATCTTATATTATTGCCAAATAAATCAAATAAGGTAATGTAACTTTCCCAGTAATATATTAGGTAATATAACATTCCAAGAATACTATTCTCAGAGGTAATCTTATATTTCGTGATCTAAATACACCTTTAGGGTGTGTCTGAATGAAAAAAATTTAAATTTTGGAGATTTTTAAAATGCTATCATTTATGATGTTTTATTTGGATAGATAATTATTTTTTAAAAATAAGCTATTAGAGTTTTATGAGTTCAAAAAATAATTATAAAAGAAAATTAATGATATAAAAAACAAATCATATAAAAATATGAAATACGGATATCATTAGATTTGTAGAAATATATAAATAATTTTAATATATAAAATAAAAAATTAAGGAGATCCACGAGAAGAGAGACAAAAGAAACGACATAATTTATAAAGGGATCCACAGATTGAGATTGACAAAAGAAAGCAAGAACACAATGTATAGCCCTGACAAACTTCATGAGAATAAAAAAACGAAAGGAAGCAACTAACCTGCTGCCCAAGAGTTAGGAGAACATAAGGATCACTTGTCATCATATCCCGGATGGCTAAATTTGTGCCTTTTTCGACTGTGACCTTTAGTATCCCAATAAGTTCAACCCCTCCCTGTTATCACTTTCAGGTCAAACGGATTGAAATTATGAAGTGCGGCACCATGTTAAGTACATCTTGTGGTATTCAAATTATTGGTGTTAATACTGACTTGACTTCTCTCACAAAAATATAGTCTCAACTGGCAACATTTCACACGAGCCTTTGCCACGTTTTACTGGTAGATTTTTATAAAATAATTATAGACCTAGACAAATAAATTGAGTGCAGGTCTCCTACAAACATGATGATATAAAAGAATCCCATGTAAATGTTCAGCTCATGCTACTCAACAAGTGACTGTATTATCTCTTAAAATCAGTAGCAACATGATCTTCCTTGCTCCCAAGACCAGATTGGAAGAAACAAAGAACAAAAGAATTTACCGAATTCTGTGATGAATTTGACAGGATAGTATCGAGAATCTTTCCAGAAAGGTTCAATTGATTAGAAGAAGAAGAAGAATCCCTCCCTGATGTGATCCGCAAGCTAGCTTTCACAAATTCTTGTTGTTCATACTTGGCCCTGCAGAAAAATTTGAAATAAGTAATTACTAGTAACATTTAAGTGATGATAATCTATCAAATCTGCTATAATGGAAACTAGGTTAAACGGTAGGCCATGATAAGGTCACTGCAGTTTATGACACTGGCTTTCTATCTTAACCAAGTAAAGTGGTGCCCACAAAAGGCGGGTACATGAAAAGTAGTTTTTGAACACATACATCACCGGCTATAAGTGAGAAAGAAATACTCAAATTGTGAGATTGTAAATTGTCTGAAATATAACCTAATGAATCTCCTCCGTTCATCATTACTAGCATTTGGACCAGGCTTTGTATAACCTTCAGTTATATGAGCCTCGTAGATTGAATTAGCAGCAGAATTTCCTCCAACTTCAATCATGGCCTCAATTTCTTCATCAGACCATTCATCCAATGCCACAGATAGAACCTGAAATCGTTGGAAAGTAGAAAAAAAAGCACTACAAATATACAAATGAAACTCTAAGCAAACCAAAAGACACTAAAATAAAGTTTGAAGTATCACATATTATGATGTAAGATGAACCGTAAGCATGATATATAGACATCAATGAGGTCATAACGATGATATAACATTAAAAGAAAAAAGAAAAACATAGTACTCTAAGTTAAGCCAAAAAATGGGAAATTTCATCCCGATTTACCACAGTAAATAGATTCTACAAGTATAATGTCCTAAGTTAAGACCTTAATTGAAACTTTTGTCACGATATCCCACTGTTAAAAGATTCTACAAAGATAACATAAACATGTGAAACACTTCAGTTAAACATATGAAAATAAACTGTCACACACAAACCTCAGCTGAAATGATTAATCCTCAAGATAATTAATTTTCATATTGGTTCATGAATGTTCTTCCAATAATCAACCAGACTAAGCCCAGGAATGCTTTCAAGAAATACAAGTATGTGAAATAACAAAGCAGTTATCTCAAATAGGCTAGCGGTAGACTAATTAGTTAGCATTTTAATTATTAGATTTGTTTTTCCCCCATTTATATCCTAAAACATTTTATCTATCAACTGTATAAAATTCACAGGCATGCTGCTGGTTCTATTATCAAGGCACACACCTATTACTACATACTCGAATCATCTACTTTTACTGATTTATCAAATTTATTGCACATTCAATGCTAAACCTCAGATAATAAATTGCCTATCAGCAATTAGGCAACCAATTAACGATGTATACAATAAATAGCTAACAAAAAATCCTCATATGTTTCCCAATCAGGGATCATTTCATGAGAAAAAAATATTACATTACATGCAAACATATTAATACCTTGGAGATGTGTGTACCAAGGCTTCTGTGCACACCGCAACATTTCAAGCATAAAAAGACTCCAATATTTGCTGATCTGAAAATACAATTTCCAAGGGATTTTCTTAATCCTTTCTTGTGCTACAAACAAACATATGCACATACGCATGCGTCAATTTTCCAAAGAGACATGTATTCATCAGGTGCTCTTATCTCGTATTCATAGGATAAGAAATGAATAGGCAAATTCTAAATATGCTTTAAAATCAAAACTTACGCCCACTTTGGATCTGAAGCACCACAATCAGCACAAGTGCGGTTATCAGTTTGATTCAATAAGCTCCTCAATCTTACTTTAGCTGCAGAGGAAATGCATTTTCCACGAAATTCAGTAAAATGCAAGGGATACCAAAGATACATCAATATTAAAAAGAAACGTGATTTTACTTATAAAGGTTCAATTTACAAAAATGGAGATTATCTGGCCTCTTATACTCGATGTAAATCCAAAAGTGAACCATTAAGTTTTTAGTGTTTGACAGCACAAAACCAGGTTATAAGTGTTCACCTTTTGTGGCAAATCCAATTTCTTCAAGGTAGAAAACAAAAGAAATGAGTGGCATCAAGGATAGTAATTTATCCCTTTATTCTTGAACATGATTGCAATTCTTAGAACTTCATAAAAAACAAGTTTTACCCTTTGCAGTGAATTAAACAAGTTGACAACTGAATTCTACAAAGCCAAAAGATAGCTTCTCTTTAAGACAAGCATTACATTAGTTTCACCTTATTTTATTTGACTCGGGATGCACAGGCCAAGCATAAAATATTTTGACCAAGACAGTAAGACCTCAAGCAATAACTTTGAGAAATGTGCACGCATATGTCCCATATATGATGCATACCTACTAATTAAAAATTCTGCATATGATTGTACATTCGCAAAAATGTCATTAGCAAGTTTTTGAAGGGAAGCTTAACCAAAAATTATTAACATTTACTCAAAACTTCCAAAGCTATCTGATCCCTTCGACCCTTACTATTTTCAGGAAGAACATGAATATAATCTATATTCGAAATCATTCAATTGAATTGATTGAATATGAGCATCACGGATTGAAGCAATATTAGCATACCTGAGGTAGCCCTTTTTACTCCACTCATTTCTTTGCTACCAACCCACAATCATCCAACAAGGAAGCTTGAAAACTGAAGAGAAAAATATCTAACTTATTTTTTCCCTTCACGGCCTCAAAATCAATTACTGCATTCTTCATTGAAGGAAATGCCAGAGTAATATAATAACCATAAAATAAAAATTATTGTCAGACATAAAAGTTTAAAGAATAAATAGATAAACTAAACTAATACTAAAACTACAAGTGGGGGATAGATAGAAACCAATAAAAGTTTTTTTTTAGAAAAAGAAAATTGCAAATTATATTCATTTTCCCAGAAACAGATATAACCCAATTATTAATTTCGAATAAATCAGGTAAAGGATGTAGACTTTTGAATGTGTTAAAAAATATATAATATGAGATAGAGAAGTTCGTGGATCATTGACAGAAGCCAATGAAACAATAGAGAATGAAATGCAAGATCTGAAAGAGGAGTTTGGGAACTTACCACTTAATTGAAATTGAAAATCCAAGGAGAACACAGTCAGATTTGGGTAAGAGAGAGAAGTATAAACTCTAGGGATTTTAGGTAATAAATTTTTCTTTTGTAGGTTATGATTTTTTGTTAAAAACAAAAGCTTATAATGGGAGTGGGGAGGGGTATGATCAAAACTTTGATTCAAGTTTCCTACCTTTGACCAAATAAATAAAATAAATATGAATTTTAAATTTTGGTTTTCATGAATTAATGTTGTTTTTTACATATTAGTCGATCATAAATAAAAATATGATATATGTTATTGTGTAATGTTATATCATAAAGAAAAACCTAAAGCTTTGTTATTGTTATTATTATTTTTTTTTGAAAAGAAAAACCTAGTCCTTTGTTAGAACTGTGAACAATTGGGCAAATTCGATTGAATTTAAATCAAATGGAAATATCGAAAGAAGACAAGCCTTTGTCCGGAAAGGTTTTCAAGTTTACTGCACTAAATATGAAGCCTAGCTCTCAATTATTCAATCCCCGAAAGGTATGCAGACAGCTAAACCAAGGTTTCCATGTGAACCCCATAAATAAATATTTGTCTTTAAACAGGGCATTAGTTTGGGTTAAAATCATGCGAAGCAAAGCTAATAAACTTCCACATGCCATTGTTTGTTCTTCTTCAGCTGTGAAAGCTTCTCATCCCAATTCTCTCCTCTCTGCTCCGCAACTCTCTTCAGCGTCTCTTGGATCCCAGGCATCATTCCCCTGAGCCCGCAGAAATATATATGGGCTCCCTCATCCAAGAGCTTGAAAATTTCATCACTGTATTCCTCGATCTTGTCCTGAACATACATCTTGCCTCCACTCTTGTTCTTCTGCTCCCTGCTAAGAGCTCGATCATATCGGAACTGATCAGGGTACTCCCCTAGGTATTTGGTAAACTCATCATCATAGAGGAGACTGTCACTGTTGGCAACCCCAAGGAAAAGCCATGCAAGGCCTCGGAACTTGAGCGTGACATCTTCCATGAACATGCGGCGGAGGTAGCCTCTAAAGGGAGCTACACCAGTTCCAGTGGCTATCATTATGTGGTTGGCATTTGGGTTATCTTCAGGCAAAAGCATTACCTTGCCAGAGGGGCCTGCCACAATATTCTACTTAAGTTAATATTAAATAATTAGTATGATCCAACCACCAAATAACCTGTAAAATCTATAATTAACCAGTGCCAACAAGTGAAAAAGAAAGAAAAAAAAAACATAAATAATCTTAACTAAGAAAAATTACTAAAATAAGAATCAGTATTTGATAAGACAATGGGAAAACAACCTTAGTTGAAACAAATGAAGTGAATAATGCAAAATTGGCTGGAACATAAGCACTTCAGTAATCATCTGGTTGGATGTTAAGATACAGCTTACAAAGCTATCAGGACAGTAACAGCTAGCGGTAGAGCAGAAACAGTCTTTTTGTTTTCTGAAGAATAGCTTTCTCTAATGCAATTTCATTCATTCCAATTAATACGAGTAGTGAGTTCTAGCTGACAAATGCATGGTGGGATATCTAGCCGTCAGCCATGGCTCTACAGTAAAGATTAACATTAACAAGAGGTACAGATGTTCCACTTTATTGAAGGATCATACCAGTGATCTGAACTTTATCTCCGGGCTTGGAGTTGCATAGGAAATTGCTACAAATACCACTTTTTGAAGGATCCTCCTTTCCAGTCTCAGGGTCATAATAGACAGCACGGCGGACACACAAACTGGCTGTTTTGCCATCAAAAGAATCTCCATACCTGGTTGACGCAATGGAATACAGGCGAACATTGTGGGGAGAACCTGGTTTCTTTGGATTTTCACCCTATGATACAAGAAAAAATGAGAACTGGAACAGAGTAAATGGGAAACTTTAGATGAGAAATCAATGAAGGAAAGAATAAAACAAGTTCTAAAAATACATATGACTTCATTCTATGAGAATGACAGGCATTAAAGTATACAACATGACAATTAGCCACGATAAGCATTGTAATCCTCATATTCAAAAGCCAAAACCATTGTTCCTACGCTCCAAACATGATAGGTCATTCAAAAGTTCAAATATTCTACTGCACCAAACTATCTGAAAACAATAAAAATTAGATAACAGCAACTTATAGAGGTGACAAACTTACAGGAGGGATAACACCATAGCTCTGTCCTTCCCAGTATGGAACATTACCACCATGGTCAATCACAATATGGCAAGTCTCACCGGGAGCTTTTGGACCGACAAGTCTCTCAACAGAAACAATGGTAGCTGTGTAAGGTTCCTTGGGCTTGAATAAATTTAGTGGAGGCTCTTTAGCAGTTTCCAACTCTGAAGGTAGAACTCCAACCTTGGATTTGCTGGCTTGTTGCACTGACATGCATACTATGTACTGATTGCTCTTCTGTGCATTTCTTGATTTCAGATTGAAAGATAAGTTGGAAGCCCATGACTTTTTACCAAAGTTTATAATGTTCCTCTGCAATAAAAGCCAAGTGATTCAGTATCACGAACTGATTAACTTACAGTGCAAAGAAAAATAGGCCTGAAACTTCATTCTGGAAAATACTGCAATTATAGTTCAGTTCTTGCACATGAAATATTAATAAGAAACAGCTCCATAAGAAAACTGCCGAATAATGTCGTCTACCATGAGGGCAAATCAATGAACACAATGCTGCATCTGACAAGCATACACACTTTCGCAATTATCAACATTCAAAGATGCACGCACACAAGCACATCTTTCTAAAAAATGAACACTCTTCAATGTAAATTAAGCAAGAGAAAATTTGCGCTGCCAAATGAAGTCCAGCACCCTCGTCACCATAACCCACCCAGAAACATAAACTTCATAGAAACTAAACGATCATACATTATTCTGACTCCAACAGTGCAATCTAGATTCAATATTCAAAAGAGTTTATCAACATTTCGGGTAGGAATTTAAACATGTAGCATATCATATACTATGTTCTAACTCTAGTCTTTCAACTTTTCAATGATCTAAACACCCATTGATAAAACTAAACCAAACAGCGCCGACCTTATAGCAAAAAATCAAGAGTAATAATTAGTGAGTACCTTAAATACAGATCTCCTTATAGAAATGTCGTTTCCAGTAGGAACAGCTACAGAAACCTGGAAGATAAACCCAAAAAATCAGTCTTGCCAAAAAAAAAACCCATTTCGATAAATTCGAGAACAGCTAATGAAACGACAACAATAACTTCATCCCTTAATAATTTCTTGGGTTATCCTTTATATATTTTTACTTTATCCCATGAATCAAACAGAACAGGAAAACTGAAAAAGAAAGACCTGGGATACAGTAGAATGAGCCATGAAGTAGAAATGAAAGAAAAAGCTTTCAGAGGAGAGCCAAATCAGGGAGATCTTTGCTTTGATTTTCTTTTCACTTGTCTTCTCTTGAATTAGGATTTAAAGGAAGGGAGTTGGGGTTTAGAAAGAAAATTTTGATCTTTTGAGACTGCAAAAGACGCTTTTTCCTCTACTTTGCCTTCTCGAATGGCTGCTTAGTTAAGCATAATATTAAGAATATTAATAATCTTTTCACAGTTGGTATGATAACAGGTTAAAAACAATTATTTAAGAATCTAATATGGAATAGATACTTTTTTACTATTTTCTATCATAATTTATTTAATTAATAAAATCTAATAAAAAAACTTTATTTTTATATTCTAGATATAACAAAATCTAATGCTTATGATGAATTGATTTATATCTAATTTAAAATAACATATATACTTGTATAAAGTATAATTAATTAAGCTATACTAATCTCAAAATTTACAATATACTTATATTTATATTATTACATATATATTATATATTGAGGAGCCTCTAAAGTTGCACATTCCATGCACCGCTGCCATTTCGCTTCGACATTCAACTTCACTCTGTCCCTTCTGGGGACATCCGACCATTTTGCCACTTTAAAAGGCTTAAAATGGTGTTGACTGGTGAAGGCATAATATGCACATATGTACTGTGAAATTTCAATAATAACCTGATTAAAGTGTCATTTTGTATATACTAGATAATATTATTTACAAGAAAACTCGTGTCAAAATACTAGACAAATTATTGATTAATTAGTTTATAATATTAATGGTTTTCTACATTTTATAGCATTCATTTGTGTATTTGGAGGAGCATAAATTTTAATAAATAAGATGAAATATCTAAATAAAACCTTGTCCCAATAAGCAGGAACGGAAACGCATGTATGGTGGCAGGGGCTATTATTTCAGGTTCAATTTCTTCTTTGGTCCCTTGTAGTTTTAAAGTTAGATAAACTAAGCCTTGGCTCCTCTAAATTTTTTAGGCTCAATTGCTTTTTAGGTCTTTTTAGTACGCCTGTAAATGAACTAAACGTTCAGCGAACCGTTCATGAACCGTGTAGCGGGAAGTTCGTTTATGTGCGTTTATTTATTAAATGAACAAACATGAACATAGGTCTCGTTCGTTTATCTAGGTTCGTGAACGTTCGTTATGTTCGTTTATGTTCGTTCGGTTATGTTCGTTTATGTTCGTTCGTTTATGTTCGTTCGGTTATGTTCGTTTATGTTCATTCATTTATGTTTAACTCAATCTTCTTAAATCAATTTTGGTGACCAATTTGTAAGTATCTTAAAAATATTAATTAATATGATATTCTGATGACCAACTCCATAATTAACCCAATTTTATTTGAAATTAAATCCAATATGTTAACCCATGAGGCACCTCGCACCTGTATTCATTTTCCCACTTTTCCCCAAACCCTAATATTCACTGGAGAGTGAAAACGACCATTGAAAGCTTCAAAACAAGTTATATTATAGTGCAATCTGAAGTTTACAGGTCTGTTTTCATCTCTTTCTCTATTTTATTTGGCTTAATAGTTGATATGTAAAGTTATTGCGGGTATCTTCACATCTAAAACTCCTGAAAATATCATACTTCTTTCTAGAAATAGATGGGAAGATAAAGGTAACAATCGAAAGTATATGAGCATTAGTAAAGAGAAAAATATAATAGAATTTGCCAGAAAACAAAACAAAGGTTTCTATGCAATTTCTGAAAAAGAGTGTAATAGCGGAAGTAATGGGTTTTCCAAGAAGAACCCATTAATAAGTAGAAAATACAC